ACAAATCTTGTTTAGAAAACTTGTCCATGGACAAATTAGAAAACTTAGTAAACTATTTTCATTTACTTAAAAGAGTATGGCCAGAACTGTAGCAAGATCTTTCTAAATTTGTGGTTAAATGACATGACTTTTATGCATAATTTAAATAACATCATGCTCTATAATGTTATCGTTGTCCTCTAATGCCAGTATATTAATAGGACCTCACCATACACATGAATTACAGGGTTTTATATTTAGGGTGTAAAATGTAAAATTTATATTATGACATTGAGTAACAGAAAATTAAAATGACCTGCCCAGGGTCACACAGTGAGTTATAAATAAAACCAGAATTAGTCTTTTCACTCCCAGTCTAGTGTTATTTTCTTAACCATGTTTTTAAAACTATTTTTATTGCTTTTTAGAGAGAGAGGAAGGGAGAGGATAGAGAGATAGAAACATCGATTAGAGAGAAACGTCATTGGTCAGCTGCCTCTTGAACACCTCCTACTGGGGATTGAGCCAGCAATCCAGGCATGTGCCCTGACCCAGAATCAAACATGTTCATTGGTCAAACTAACCATGTTTTGTGTTTGTTTTTTCCCCAACAAGTTAATATAGTTATAACTTTAATTTATTTCCTCTGTGTTCCCACTCAGAGATGAGAAAAACAGTTAAAATGAAAAAAAAGAAAAGAAAAAGAAGGATTCCACTAACCCTATCATAGCAGATTTTTTAAATTATCTTTTTATCCTTTCTCTCTTTACTTTCCCAAGAGTTAAAAAAAATAGGTCTATGGGGAAAAATTGAATTCCTCAATCATTGGAGATGAAATTGGTACTCCTTTCCTGTTTAAAAATATCTAAGTGTCAATATCATGTAAGAAATGGATAAAAGGTGAAGACCTGTTATTTGCTCAGATATTTACTTATTAATTAATTATAAAAGGTACACTGTATATGGGCTATAATAAAGTTACAGTTAAAGCATCAAGAGTACAGAGACAGGGAAAGGGCCAGTCCTCTCTAGGGATGATGGGAAATTTCTTGGAACAGGTGCTGTTTAAGTTAAGCTTTTATGAAACCTAACATCCTGACAGGTGGAAGCTGAGAGGGCATTTCAGGCACTTACACAGCCTGTCCATGGAATAGAGAATAATGTGGAATGGCTGGAACTTTGGGGGTATCAGGTATAGTGAGATTTATATCGCTAAAACAAGAAGGTTGGAGCTGAATAAGGGCCTTGAACACCTGGTGAGGAATTGGACTTTTTCTGTTCTTTCTTACTTGGCTATTAGTTTTTGGTATAATCAGAAAAAGAGAAATAAAATCAGTCATTGATCCCCAACTCTCCATTACTCATCAGCTGCAGTACAGAGGTACACTTCCATAGAGTATGGCTCAACTGATTTGTCATAATTCCCTAAAATTACTTGGTTAAGGGATGATGTTGATATATTCATATTTTCCTGCCTCACTCCAGGAATGGACTTGTTAACGTGTGTAGAAAAACTGTATTTTCTAGTTTTCTCCCCTGAGGTCGTTTGGCAAGTCTATGGGGTGGCTAAATTGCAAAGTGAATTTGCTGGTTGTTGTACTCTCCATCAGTTAGCTTTATTCTAATTGGAATAATGCCTGTTGGTTGTTAGTAAGGTCTAAGTCAGTGGATCTCAACCTTGGCTGCACATTAGAATCACCTGGGAATCTTTTTAAAATCCTGATTTCTGGGCCTCATCCTCTGGAAATTCTGTTTCTTTGTTACTAATGTTGTGGCTCCACCCCATAACAAAGTGAGCCAGATTACCTTGGTAGGCGAGACGTGCTTCTTTTCACATTCTGTTTCCTACCAAAACAGCATAATTCTGACGTGCTCTCCTCTAGTGACTGTAATCTTGAGCCACTCATAGTCTCACTGATATATGTCATGCCAGTTATTTGTTGAAAATATAAATTTGCCGAAACCGGTGTGGCTCAGTGGATAGAGCGCCGGCCTGCGGACTGAAAGGTCCCAGGTTCGATTCCGGTCAAGGGCATGTACTTGGGTTGTGGGCACATCCCCGTAGGAGATGTGCAGGAGGCAGCTGATTGATGTTTCTCTCTCATTGATCTTTCTGACTATCTCTCTCCCTTCCTCTCTGTAAAAAATCAATAAAATATATTTTTTAAAAAAGAAAAGAAAATATAAATTTGAAAGGAAAAGAGCCTCCTTTTCTACAAACTCTAGATTGTATTGGGATCCATCCTAGAGAACCCAGAGAAATCATTGTAATCTCTGATAGTGGTACTCAATTTTGTTTGTACATTAGAATCAGCTGGGAAGTGTTTAAAAATCCCTTTCCTACAGACAAATCAAAATCGGAGTCACTTGGGGTGGAGGTAGGACTGGCAGAAACCAAATATTAGGAGTTTTTAAAACTCCCCAGGTGGTTCTACTGTGCAGCCAAGGTGAAAACAGATCCAATACGTGTGGGCCTTGCATCAACCCTCCAGTGTCACCGATGCCTGAAGAGTGGTCCTCAGAGAGTGGTCCCAGTTCAGGGGCATCAGCATTGCCTGGGAACTCTTTATAAATGCAATGTGTTGAGCTGCACCCAGACCGAGTGAGTTAGAAGATCTCAGGGTGGGGCCCAGCAATCTTCAGCCCTCCAGGTAATTCCCATGCATTCTAAAGTTTGAAAACCACCAATGTAGAGCAGTAGAAAGGATTTTTTTTAAATTAAATAATTGTGTCATGATTTGTGACATGATTTAAGCAAAATTATATTTACTTAAGTATATTTCCAGTACAATGTAACTATAAATAGTAAATGGCCTAAGATGCTTTTCTTAGAGTTTGGTACACACGTCATCTATATTAGAATCACTTAGTTGGAATCATACACATTCTGAGGATCTTCTTCAAATTTATGAATCATCTCTGCGGCAAGGCCCAGAATCTGCATTTGTCACAAGAATCTCAGGTGGTTCTTTGGTAAACTAGCATTTGAAAAGCGTTGTTCTAAATGGATGACACCCTGTCTGGAAATATTTTATAGGCTTCATTAAAATACTGTATATGGTTCACTTATTTGCCCATATCAGGTGAAATTTATAACCCTATCTTATAAAAACGGTGCTCTGAACTGAGTATAACCACAGAATGTGCATTTTTCATTTACTAAAAAATGATTAATACCATTTTAGTACAAATGTTATTTCCTTTTTATCAAAGAGAATAGTATAATTTTATATTGTTGTCTCACTTTGTAAAAGATCATCTCTCTTAGATTAAGAGGCTCTTTATACTAGTTGGCAAAGGTAAACAATTATTGTTGGTAATAGACAATGTACCAATTACTACTAATACACCAGGAATGTAATAAAAATAAAAATTAATTTTCAGAAGGCTCTGTAATCACTCCTTGCAGAAGAGTATTTTACAGAAATATAATTTGAGGAATCCCTGCATTAGAATACAAAGCAGAATCAGGATCTATATTAGCAAAAATGAGGTAATAAAATATTGTTGTCAGCATGCTCATTAAGTTTTAAAATTATCTCTATCATTTTTCACTTGGGAAGTAGATATAGCCAATTATGAAGACTATTCAACAAAATATCATAAATGTGGTTATACTGAAAAAAATCACAAAATGTTTTTACTTAGCTAATCTATATAAATGAAGATTTTGATTTGCAGTGATTGGGTATTGTGCTCACAAATACTACTAATCAAAATGTTCATGTTGATATCTACAGGCCATTGCTATTTTCAGAGGCAAAGAATCATCTAGTACAAGTGCTTTGATTATGACATTCAAATGGCTTTTATTATAAACTAGAGGTCCGGTGCATGAAAATTCATGCACTGGGGGGGGGGTCCCTCAGCCCGGCCTGCCCCCTCTCACAGTCTGGGAGATCTCAGGGATGGTAGGCAACCCAACGATTAGGGGAAGGCAATGCCTCATCACACCTCTGCTGCTGCCACTGCCAGCAGTGCAAGCCTTGGGCGGCTCTGGGTGGCTGGGAAGTCAACATCCGAGGCTTGTCTGTGCCTACGGCCAGCCCTGGGCGGCTGGGGGGCTGAGGGGACTGGGGGACTCTGGAAGCAGGTGCACGGCAAGGCCGGGTGTGCCTGCCACTCCAGCGGGGCTGAGGGGACTGGGTGCCACCATCTTGTGGCTGTGGGCACTGCCATCTTTGAGGGTGGGGCAGTCAATTAGCATATTCCTTCCTTATTGGCTATGGGCGCTACCATCTTTGTGATGGCATGAGGGTCAATTAGCATTCCCTCTTTATTAGATAGGATTTCATTTAAAGAATAACTAGTTCCATCAATCTATGATTAAGTGACTATAAGTTTTGCTTATTTTGTGTAAATTTTTATTACTTTGCATAAAATGCATGTATGGTAATTTAATTTAATATAAAATAATATAATGATAATAATAATGTCACCTATACATTTATTGAGTTCTTCCTATGTGCCAGGTACTGTTTTGTGTGCTACCCATGAAGTTTTCCAGTTAATCTTCAAAACACCTTATGAGATAGATTTAATAGATGAAGAAATTGAGGCACAGAGCAATAGAAGTGAATAATGCACCCTAGCCAGTTTTGCTCAGTGGATAGAGCTCGGCCTGAGGACCAAAGGGTCCTGGGTTCAATTCCGGTCAAGGGCACGTACCTTGGTTGCAGGCTCTTCCCCAGCCTGGGCCCTGTTTGGGGCATATGCAGGAGGCAACCAATCAATGTGTTTCTCTCACATTGATGTTTCTCTTGTCTCTCCCTCTCTCTTCCACTCTCTCTAAAAATCAATGGAAAACTATCCTCAGGTGAGGATTAACCAAAAGAAAAATGAATAATGCTGGAACTTAAATCCAGAGCCCTTGCCCATAATTAATATAAATATTAAAATACTGTGTTAATTAAAATAATAGCTTAATTATTAATCTTGTACTATAGCTGGTTTTGTATTTTATATGATTTATAGGTTGTAAATTGTCCAACTAAGTTTCCCAATTACTTTTCTTTTCTTAGGAAACTGCTTCTTCCTTTTATTGTGCTATGTGTGGCAGGGGCTGCTGTTCATGCACAAGAACAAGGTAAGAAGGTCACCTTGATGCTTATTTGCTTATAGAAAAATTCTTCTCTCAGATAGCAAAAGCACATGAGTTTAAAGTCACCATAACCTTAAATTCAACAGTAAATAATAAAAAATTCTACCCAGCAGAGTGAGATTGTAAGGAGAAGGAACCAATGTTGGGAGGAAATACGACCTTTAAGAAATTTCTCAGATCTTCCATCTGTAAAATTGCTTACATTTTTAAGCAAACTCTCTATAAAAGGGAAGTTTTGTACAGTAAAAAGGCTTTGCTTGTGACTTCATTGTAAGTGGGAGTTCTTGGGGGTGGTAAACTGTGCCTGAATTACCTTTGCACTTCTTGAAATAACACAAGCACATACTAAATGTTCCCTCTAGATTTACATCATTAAGAAACAAAATAAAATTTGCATACCAGTGGGCTTGGGATTTTATTTAATTCAAATGGAGAGGTTTGGAAAATAGTTCAATGTTTTGTTTTGTTTTCGTTTGCAAGCTAGTTGCTCTGGTAATATGGTGATAAGAGTTTCAAGAATCTGTACCTTAATTTATTCATTTATTAAACAACATTTTAAAAGTATCTTTCATTTGCCACATAAAATCCTAATTGCTAATAATTGAAATATGAATAAAATAACATCTCTAGCCCAGCCAGTGTGGCTCAGTGGTTGAGTTTTGACCCATGACCCAAGAGGTCACCAGTTTCATTCCCTTCAGGGCATATGCCCATGGTGCAGGCTCAATCCCCAGCAGGAGACAACCAATCAATGTTCCTCTTTCATCACTGTTTCTAGTTCTCTATCTCTTACTCTTCCTCTTTCTCTAACAAATCAATAAAAACATTTTAAAAAAAGTTAAAATCAGAGAAAAAAATCCTGAAATTGTGTTGGATCTACAGGTAATATCACTCTGCCCCCCCCTCCCCATTTTTTCTCTTCAGCCTTTTCTCAGGAGGGGGG